CTTGTCAGTATTGAATCCCATCCTGTTCTCATCTGCCCACCCCTGTAACCTGTCCAGATCTAGTTGTAGCCTGTCCCTCCCTTCTAGCGTGCCCATTTCTCCCCACATCTTGGTGTCATCCGCGAACTTGAACAAGGTGCTTTTCACCACCTCGTCCAAGTCACTGATGATGTTGAACAGTGTGGGCCCGAGCCCTGGGGATCCCCAGTGCCCACATGCCTCCAGGTCAAAAATGACCCATCCACCACCACTCTGGGTGCGGCCCTCCACCCAATTTGCAACCCATCTGACTGTGTAGGCATCAACACCACAGTTACCTAACTTGTTGATGAGAATGGGGTGAGAGAGTGTCAAAGGCCTTCCTAAAGTCCAGAAAGACTACATCTACCACGCCACCTGCGTCCAAGGAATTTGTGACCTGATTGTAGAAGGCCACCAGGTTGGTCTGACAGGACCTGCCTCTAATGAACCCATGTTGGTTGCCCCTAAGCATAATCTCTCCTGCTGGTTCCTCACACGTGTTTTTGGATAATTTTCTCAAAAAGCTTCCCCAAGACCAAGGTAAGACTAACAGGCCTATAGTTTCCTGGGTCCTCTTTCCTCCCTTTTTTGAAAATGGGGACCATATTGGCCCTTTTCCAGTCCTCTGGCACCACACCAGAGCACCACAAGTGCTCATAGAGCTGTGCCAGGGGTCCTGCGATGGCCTCTGCCAATTGCCTCAGCACCCTTGGGTGGAGATCATCTGGACCTGCTGATTAACAGCCAGTATAGGGAACAGTATCCTGACCTAACTGAAGAATGCTGCTTTGGGTTTCATGGTTGCTAGCAGTATATCCTCACAACTGCTGCCGCTGGAGAACACCCTCCACTGGAATCCTTACCTGCTCGAGTCAGTGTCTTGTAGATTGGGCACAAGTAGATGCCTGTGGTTGGAGGTTTGCGGTTGGGGACTGGAATTAGCCAGATGATGGCCATCTCTGTGTAAAGCTCCTTGGGACGTGACTCCACTAGCTCAAAGGTAGA